CACGACGGTTTCTGGCGCTGCTATTTTACTTCATGCAGCCTCGCTTGTGGGAAGACATCGCGGAGGCAGAGAACGAATACTTTGATGAAACGATCGACGAACGGGTTGAAGGACAGTATACGAAGCAGGACCAAGAGAGAAGAAGATTTCTAGATTCAAGAAGAGCACGCGCGATGCGATCAAGGCTGCATTACTCTCTACGCCACCTATCACTGCTCGAGAGCTGTGCGTATTCGTTGTGCTTCTATTTGCTCGAGCAGTTGCTCTCAACAAGTAAAAAAAGGAGAATCACTGGAAGACGACAGACGAAGGAGGAATTCCTCGTGGACGCTTCGGGATTTGCATGTCGCGGGATCGCTTCATGCACATCTCTCGAAATCTCCACTTCAGCAGCAACAACGACCCCCGCGCCGCAACAGATCGTGCCTGGAAGCTGCGTCCTGTGATCGACGCGCTCCAACAACAGTTCAAAGCGGGTTACATACGGCCTCCAGTGATGGCATTTGATGAGGCAATGTTGCCTTTAAGATCAACGTTCAACCGGATGACAGTCTACATGAAGGACAAGCTCCATAAATGGGGGACCAAGCTCTTCATGTTGTGCTGCTCTACGTCAGCATACTGTCTCAGGTGAGTTGAGAGCGTGCCTCACGGCACGCTCCCTTTTTTTGTGGTTGTAAGTTTCTCTAGGCTGTGAGGATAACGAGTATGTAACAATGCAATGTGTATGATTACGGGTTTGGAGAGTTCTAGTGTGGTAAAGCGACAAACGGACAGGTCATCTTCTTCGAAGGACACCAAACTGTGGACCAGCTGCCGTTATTCGCAACCTGAGGAAAAGTTTTTGGAGCAAGGGGAACCATCGAAAAACGTCTAGTGGTCACTGACCGATTTTACGCGTCACCGACACTCTCCATGCAGCTCCTAGCAATGGGGTTCTACAGTATAGGCACAGTGATGACCAACCGGCGTGGGTTTTGCAAAGAGATTATCGTGAAGAAGAAGAAGCGGCCTGCTGATGTACACCGCGGTACCTACGCTGTTGCCGAGTCAACATTAGTGCCGAGTATGAAAGCAGTGTGTTGGTTGGACAACCGTCCTGTGCATTTGCTGTGTGCGGGTGGAAGTACTGAGCAAGATCGCGTAGTTCGACGAGCGAAGTCTGGCAAGCAAGTCGAGGTGGCATGTCCAAGAGTGCTGAAACATTACCAAACTTTCATGGGCGGAGTTGATGTACTCGATCAACTTCGCCTCCAAAGGTGAGTACATTTCTGTTGTATGTACAAGATAGTGTTGATGCTAACCCTGTAGAATTCATGTTGTATCAGGTACTCTCTTCAATTGGCTCTAAAGTATAAGAAATACTACAAGTCGCTTTTTCTGGGCTTCATCGACCTGGCAACAGTCAATGCTTTTATTGTGTACTATCGACGGCGTGCTATTGATGGAAAACCCAAGCTCAGCCATGTCAAGTTCCTGAAGCAACGACATTTGGAGCTGACGCAGTTGCAGGAGACGGATTGGGATGCTCTCCGCGCGGTGGAGCGTACCCCGAAGAAGTCACGCGCTCCGCCAATGCAGCGAACCCACGTACCGGTGCAGGTGGATGAGTGGAGGGATGGAAACAACGGGAAAGGTCGAAAGCGACGTCAACGAGCATGCACAGTATGCTCGGTGCTTAAGGGCTCCGACGAGTCGCGAGGGGGCGAGACTACATTCTACTGTAGCACCTGCAAGCTACACACAAGCTCAAAGCAGCCACTGGCGTCGCGTGTGTACCTGTGCAACAAGGTCAAGCATGTAAACAACGGTGAGTTCGTTTCGTGCTTCGAGATTTGGCACAAGCATTGGCGTAACGGCAGCCTGTTGCCGCCGTCACAGAGAAAGCGAAAGATCCGCGCGCGCAGGCCAGCCGCCGGTAGTGTCGAAGAAGCAAAGTCTGCGAGTGGTGACAGCGGGGATGATGACACCAGTAGGCCGTCAAAGAGACGTCACAACGACGCCGCGACACCTTAAGCAGATGATTTTGCGATCTTAAATGTCTTGATAAAAGTATGAAATCTGTATCTCCCTTTTTACCTGAACTTGAAGTCTATATTTAGGAGAAAAGTGCGCTGGGCTGTGAGCAGTTTTTTTTCGTTCCTGGACACGATATCTTGGTATAGTGTATTTCAAAGTCAAATATTCTTGTAGGATACACGATATCAAATTTTCACCATCCTAGGTGTTGGGGTTCAATGCGTTTAACCATCCTACAGGATTAATTTTATACCAGTCTAACTATTAAAACCCTTCCCCGACATACACGTTAACGTCGAAAGGGTTTCGGTAAATGGGTGCACTGGAAAACCTTCGCGTTCAAGGGGTTAATTGGTATTGAGTTTTGGTTTAAAACCTGGTGTTTCAATATCCGTAAAATAATAATGGAATATATAAGTTCCTGTCAGAAGACTGTCTTAGAGGGGTTACTGTCGGGTACGGAAGCAATCACTCAAATGACAAGAGCAATAAAGGTGTAATGAACTCACATAGCATTTAAAATCGTAAATGACGACTACTACAAAACATTCATTGGACTGGTATTTAGTGACAAGAACAATGATCGTACAAAAGGCGTCATGATGTCACAAAGCATCCAAAGTCGTAAGTGACTAAAAGAGAATGGCATTCACTGGAATTCGAGCTTCAAAGCTCACAAGTAAAATATTAAA